CCCACCCCCCCCACACCTCGCTATGGGGCAGGAGGTACCTGGTTGGCGAAGAGGACCATGATGGTGTAGAGCCCGCCCCCCGGGGGGGTGTATTTGACCGTGAAGGTGTCGTTGTCGTTCTTGATGATGTCGAAGTCGATGTCGGCCTCCAGAGGTCCCACCACCCCTGGGGCACACTTGATCCCGATGCTGACGTCACCTACGGGGGCGGTCACCAACCCCAGGGTCAGCCGGGGTCACCCGGGTCTTCTCCACCCCCCACACACACGCCGGGGTGGGTGGGTGGGAGGAGGAACGTGGGGTTGGAGTAGGGGGATGGAGCTGGGGAAGGGGGGGTGGAGTTGGGATGAAGGACCAGGGATGATGGAGCTGGACCAGGAATGATGGACCAGGACAAGGGACGAAGGACCAGGGATGAAGGACCAGGACCAGGGTTGATGGACCAGGACTAGGGATGAGGGACCACAGTTGATGGACTTGGGTTGATGGACCAAGAATGATGGACCAGGACCAGGGGTGATGGACTTGGACTAGGTATGATGGACCAGGACCAGGGATGAAGGACTTGGGATGATGGACCAGGGATGATGGAACTGGACCAGGGATGATGGACCAGGGTTGATGGACTTGGGATGATGGACCGAGAATGATGGACCAGGACCAGGGGTGAGGGACCTGGACCAGGGGTGAAGGACCAGGGATGATGGACTTGGGATGAAGGACCAGGACCAGTGATGAAGGACCAGGGATGATGGACTTGGGATGAAGGACCAGGAATGATGGACCAGGACCAGGGATGATTGACCAGGGTTGATGGACCAAGAATGATAGACCAGGACCAGGGTTGATGGACCAGGACCAGGGACGAAGGACCAGGACCAGGGATGATGGACCAGGGTTGATGGACTTCGACTAGGTATGATGGACCTCGGATGATGGACTGGGACCTGAGATGATGGATCTGGACCAGGGATGAAGGACCAGGACCAGGGTTGCTGGGACTGGACCAGGGATGAAGGACTAGGGTTGATGGACTTGGACTAGGGATGATGGACCTGGGATGACGGACCAGGACCAGGGATAATGGACTTGGGATGAAGGACGGGGGATGACGGACCAGGGATGATGGACTTGGGATGAAGGACCAGGACCAGGGATGATGGATTTGGGATGATGGACCAGGAATGATGGACCTGGACCAGGGATGCAGGACCAGGGATGAAGGACTAGGGATGAAGGACCAGGACCAGGGATGGACCTGGACCAGGGATGATGGATCAGAGATATTGGACCAGGACCAGGGATGATGGACTTGGGATGATGGAACTGGACCAGGGATGAGGGACCTGGACCAGGGATGAGGGGCCAGAGATATTGGGCCAGGACCAGGGATGATGGACCAGGGATGATGGACCAGGACCAGGGTTGATGGACCAGGGGTGATGGACCAAGAATAATGGACCAGGACCAGGGGTGAGGGACCAGGGTTGATGGACTTGGGATGATGGACCAGGACCAGGGATGAAGGACCAGGGATGATGGACCGGGACCATGGATGAAGGACCATGGATGATGGACCAGAGATATTGGACCAGGACCAGGGATGATGGACCAGGGTTGATGGACCAGGACTAGGGATGAAGGACCAGGACCAGGGATGATGGACCAGGGTTGATGGACCAGGGTTGATGGACCAGGACCAGGGATGGACCAGTGTTGATGGATCAGGACCAGGGATGAAGGACCTGGACCAGGAATGATGGACCAAGGTTGATGGACCAGGACCAGGAATGATGGACCAGGGTTGATGGACCAGGACTAGGGATGAAGGACCTGGACCAGAGATGTTGGACCAGGACCAGGAATGATAGACCACAGTTGATGGACCAGGGATGAAGGACCAGGGATGATGGAACAAGACCAGGGATGATGGACCAGGGATGATGGACCAGGACCAGGGATGAAGGACCAAGGTTGATGGACCAGGACCAGGGACAATGGACAAGGGGTGCAGGAACTGGACCAGAGATGTTGGACCAGAACCTGGGCTGAAGGACCAGGGATGATGGACTTGGGATGATGGACCAGGACCAGGGATACTGGAACTGGACCAGGGATGAAGGACCAGAACCAAGGATGAAGGACCAGGACTAGGGTTGATGGACTTGGACTGTATGATGGACCTGGGATGATGGACCTGGGATGATGGACCAGGACTAGGGATGAAGGACCATGGATGAAGGACCAAGGTTGATGGACCAGGACTAGGGATGATGGACCAGGACCAGGAATGATGGACCAGGGACACAGGAGGTGGGTGCCCCACCCCCAGAGAGGTCCCCATGGGTGGTGGGTGCCCCCGATGGGTGGTGGGTGCCCCCCCGATGGGTGGTGGGTGCTCACCCTGCCCGGCCTCGCTGCAGTCCACGGTGAAGTAGGTGGGCTCGTTGGCCTTCAGCCCCGTCTTCTCCACCCCCGGCCCGTAGACCTTCACCCGCCCGGGGTGGCTGCCCTCGCCCACGCTCACCTGGGGGGCAGGAGACCCTCACCCGGGGGGCACTGGGGGGGCCACCAACCCCCCTGCCCCACACCCCCTCTGCCCCACGGCCGGCACCCTCCTCCTCCTCCTGCCCAGCACCCATGGACCACCCATGGACAATCCATGTCATTGGACCCAGCCCCACCGTGGGTCTGGGACCCCCAACCCCACCACCGGCACCCCATAGATCTGGGGGCCCCATCTCCATCACCCCATGGGACCCATATCTCCATCTCCACCACCCCATGCCCCCCACCATGGCCACCCAGCACCCTATAGGTCTGGAAGCCCCATCTCCATGCCCATCACCCCATGGACCTCCATCTCCATGCCCATCACCCCATGGACCTCCATGACCACCCCATGGGACCCCCATCTCCATGTCCAGCACCCCATGGACCTCCATGACCACCCCATGGGACCCCCATCTCCATGCCCATCACCCCATGGACCTCCATGACCACCCCATAGGACCTCCATCTCCATGTCCATCACCCCATGGACCCAGATGACCACCCCATGGGACCCCCATCTCCATGTCTATCACCCCATGGACCTCCATGACCACCCCATGGGACCCTCATCTCCATGTCCAGCACCCCATGGACCCCCATGGCCACCCCAGCACCCCATGGACCTCCATGACCACCCCATAGGACCCTCATCTCCACGCTGACCACTGTGGACCACTATAACCACCCCATGGGACCCCCATCTCCATGTCCATCACCCCATGGCCCCCCATGGCCACCCCAGCACCCCATGGACCCAGATGACCACCCCATGGGACCCCCATCTCCATGCCCATCACCTCATGGACCTCCATGACCACCCCATGGGACCCCCATCTCCATGTCTATCACCCCATGGACTTCCATGGCCACCCCATATGACCCCCATCTCCATGCCCATCACCCCATGGACCTCCATGGCCACCCCATAGGACCCCCATCTCCATGTCTATCACCCCATGGACCCCCATGGCCACCCCAGCACCCCAGGGACCTCCATGACCACCCCATAGGACCCTCATCTCCACGCTGACCACTCTGTGGACCACTATGACCACCCCATGGGACCCCCATCTCCATGTCTATCACCCCATGGACCCCCCATGGCCACCCCAGCACCCCATGGACCCAGATGACCACCCTATGGGACCCCCATCTCCATGCCCATCACCTCATGGACCTCCATGACCACCCCATGGGACCCCCATCTCCATGTCCAGCACCCCATGGGCCCCCCATGGCCACCCCAGCACCCCATGGACCTCCATGACCACCACATGGGACCACCCATGACCCTCATTTCCATGTCCATCACCTCATGGACCTCCATGATCACCCCACAGGACCCCCATCTCCATGTTCATCACCCCATGGACCTCCATGACCACCCCATGGGACCCCCATCTCCATGTCCATCACCCAATGGACCCCCATGGCCACCCCAGCACCCCACGGCCCCCCCATAGCACCCACGCGGAAGGGGCTGCGGGGGGTGGTGACGCCCCCCCAGGTGACGATGATGGTGTGCTTGATGGCCTTGGTGGGGACGTAGACGCAGTGGTAGGTGCCGTCCCCGTTGTCCTTCACCTTGATGTCGATGGGGAAGCCCTCGGCGTCCTGCGGGCAACAGGTGGGGGGTGAGGGGACACCAGGGGACCTGCCGGCACCCAACGGCACCCAAGGGACCACCCATCACCACCCAAGGGCAACCACCAGCACCCAAGGGCAATCAAGGGCACCCATTGTCATCCAACATCACCCAATGGTAGCCAACATCACCCAAGGGTACCCATCATCATCCATGGTCACCCAATGGTGCCCATCATCACCCAAGGGCACCCAACATCACCCAGTGGTAGCCAACATCACCCAAGGGCACCCAACATCACTCAACCTTACCCAAGGGCACCCAGCATCACTTGACATCACCATCACCCAAGGGCACCCAACATCACTTGACATCACCCAACAGTACCAAATGGCACCCAACATCACCCAAGGGCACCCAATGGTACCCAACATCACCCAAGGGGCACCCAAGGGCACCCAACATCCCTCAACATCACCCAATGGTACCCAACATCACCTAGGGGCACCCAGTGGTACCGAAGGGCAACCAACATCACCTGAGGGCACCCAGTGGCAACCAACATCACCCCACCCAAGGGCACCCAATGGTACCCAAGAGCACCCAACATCACCCAAGGGCAACCAATGGTTCCCATTGGCACCCAAGGGCACCCAACATCACTTGACATCACCCAACAGTACCAAATGGCACCCAACACCACCTGAGGGCACCCAATGGTACCCAACATCACCCGAGGGCAACCAATGGCACCCAAGGGCACCCAACATCCCTCAACATCACCCAACATCACCTGAGGGCACCCAGTGGCAACCAACAACACCCAAGGGCACCCAATGGTACCCAAGAGCACCCAACATCACCCAAGGGCAACTAAGGGCAACCAACATCACTCAACATCACCCAATGGTACCTGGCAATCAACAACACTCAACATCACCTGAGAGCACCCAACATCACTTGACATCACCCAAGGGCACCCAAGGGCACCCAACACCACTCAAGGGCGACCAACATCACCCAAGGGCGACCAATGGCAACCAACATCACCCAATGGTACCCAATATCACCCCACATCACCCAAGGGCACCCAACGTCACCCATGGTCACCCACCCCCACCCAAGGGCCCCCCCGGTGGCCCCACCTGTGCGTAGAGCTTGAGGGGCCCTTTGCCGGCGCCGCGGGTGTCGATGGTGAACTCGGCCGGACGCTCCACGATGCAGCCCGTGGGCTCCAGCCCCGGCCCGAAGGCCTTCACCTGGGGGGCAGGGGGCGAGTTGGGGGGCAGGGTGGGGT